AAAGAACTGATCGGTTGATGAGAATTTCATACACATGCCAGATTGCGACATAACGTATACAAGGTATAATATTAAAATACGATAATATATTGTCGCAATCATGCGGCATCATCGAATACACGTGCGTTTTAAAAATAATTAAAGAAATAAATAGTGTCCTGAAACATCTAAACAGGAGAGCACACAATTGCAAACAACGAAAGTAGTATTATAATTATAAATGTTAATATTTTACATCGTCACTTTGCGCGAAGTACTACGCAATTTTTTTCAGTTTCCGAAACAAATGTAGCATCTGTCCCAAGACTTTGGACTTTATATATTTATATACCGGAAACGCTTACTTTAATTTTTAACGAAAGGACACTTTAACACGTTCCGTGGCATGTGTACCACCGGTGGTACACGATGTGATAGCTACTCTAAACAAGAGAACTACTTATTATCGATTGCTGATGATTTAACGATGTGATAGCTACTCTAAACAAGAGAACTACTTATCGATTGATGATGTAATACAAATGGCCTGAACGACAACAAAAGGCAAAAATCGCTTGCCACGGAACGTGATAAAGAAAATGAGGATCTGACAACAATTGCGAGTGGATTGCAAATGCTCTCTCGCGAATCGCGCCGTTTTTCCAACGAGTACGAACCTGGATGGCGCCAAGTCGGGATTCGGCGTGTACAGATTTCCGGGAGTCTGCGCCCACCAAGGGCTGGCACCGCCGCAATCGTTGCAACATCCGCAGGAACCAGTCGCCGGTCCCACGGTGCCTCCCTGCCCGTACAGCGATCTGCATCGCAGTTCCAACTGCTCCCAGTACATCTTCTTCTTCTCGTGACTTAGCAACTGGTACACCAGCATGCACGAGAATATACAAGCCAGTATGCCAGCCACCGAAACTCCGAACAGTGCCCTGAGACAGGCGTGCAGAGCACCGTGGACCGCCTCGCAATGAGGCGTGCCTTCGAAAAGCACTCCCGGGTCTCCTTCCGGCGCTCCGTAACACGTGCACGACCTGCCACGCGGATAATTGTTAAGAGTTATTGAACGACAAGTTCGTATCGACCGTATTGCAAAAAATAGAGCGGCGATGTTTACCTGGCTTTGATGGTGTAAACGCATCTGCGGAGACCTTGTAGCCGCGACATGTGTATCACGGTGGTCGTCACGGTGACTAACACGCATACTAAAGCGCACACTACTCCGACAGACCCGCAAACTTTCATCTGCAAGAGGGATTATTGGCTCGTTTGTTTCTTAAATAGGGAAACTGTTCTAATCTGTCTCTGTTGCAATCGAATGAAATTCTTCCCTACGTAGATGACGATTGTTATGAGTAGAATCTATTTTTCTTTTTTTAGTACGAAGTTTGTGAAAGAAATGAATTGTTACGAAATTTCAGGAAATTAAAGTACTTGTAACGTTGCGATACAAAATTCTTAGTCGATCGATTAGTGAATGAGTAATTTGTATATTTTTATTTGACATGCGACAGAGTTCGCCCAAGGTGTTTACGAATTGAGCAATTCTTCAAATCTCCAAGAAAGCATCGTTATAAATCTAATAATTAGTATCTACCTCTTAAACTGTTACTAATTATTACTCTCCTGCGAAAAGTTAGAGATTTCTCATACGTTAGAGATTCGACGAAAAGTGGTCAAATTCTTACCAAAAGTCCGTATCTGTGTTTCCGTCTGGCGAGTAGCATGGTGAACAAACCCATCAGGATTAACTGGAAATTAATATGAAACGCACATGATTATTCTCGGCGTGCAGCACGTGCAGAACATTTTCTGCTTTCATTGTTTCCGTACGCGGTCGTCTCGTTAAAGGGAGATCGGCTTGATAGACTCCGATCTTCGCCTCTTACCATTATGCCAGGAATGTAAGATGGTACAGTCTCAAAGAGAGCTAAGCTGGCCGTGTGGGCTGAAAGGACCGCGTGTACCGCCAAAAAGAGACTACCGACCGCAGCGCTCAGCCCACCACAAAGGCAACAAAGGACAACGTACTTCTTGCAGCAACCACCTTCACCGGTGTGACCTGTAAAATTAAAATCGGTCACTGATAGTATGCTAGGCGAATTGAGAATGAGAGACGAGTTAAAAGGGGACTGGTATGGTATGCCTTGAAAATTTTCAACTGGGCGACTCGAATGTTGGATTAGATTTGTTAGACTGGTGATTTCAGCCTCGAGATTGACAATCAGTTTAGGAATGGAGCTTGACTTATAATTTTTCTTAACTCTCACACGCTTTTCCCTACGTGTCGGTAAATTTCTTTTCTTTTCGAATTTTTTTCTTGACCTATTTTAATTTCGCCTAAATTTCTTCAAGGTACATCTTTCTCCTTTTGTTCCGCGACAAAGAAAAAA